TTTTTTTTTTAAATATAAAAAGAGTGATATTTGTCATGCATTTGGAACCAAAGATACTTAAACTTATCAGAAAATGTATTTAACATAGTATAAAAGCCTGTAAAGAATACCAACAAATATTATGCATTTCTTGGGGTCCAATGGACACCGAAAGACCTTCTACGTATGGCAACATGAAAGGCCTGAATAGAGTTATTCAGGTTTTTTCTCCAATTCTCTTAAAATAAATAGTCAAAAGAAATGTAATTTTAGTTTTTGTGACATTACAACTATGTCATACTTCAAAAAAACACACCTCCTTCTAGTCATGATTACTCTTTTCCATCGAGGTGCAGGACTTTATACTGCAGTGAAAAATGAACCTATAGTGATGAAAAACGTGACAGGAGCAAAGTACGCCTGAAGCCAAAGACCAATGTAATAACAAGTAGATTTGTTCCAGTGTCAGTGTGTGGGAAAAGTACACATGGGGTTTCATTAATGCTTTTGGTGTGCCACCCTTTCTCCATATCTTTACCCGTGCAGTCTGAATATAAGTTGCTAATTTATTCACAAAGAGTTTTTTTTTTCCCTGCTCGTCCACAAATGGTGCAACAGGAGGAAGAAACCACTTACACACATACGCCTCACATGATGACACTTGCTAACAACATCTTAACTTGTACAAATGATTTTTTTTCAGGTTACAGATGAAACAAGCCTTGAAGCCTCAACCACGCTCTCCCACATGTCACATCCACCACGGCGCTTTATTTGTTGCACATCTGATGGTTGTTCCAGCCGCCCGTCTGCCTGCCACAGTGAGCTGTCACTTTCCATCCAGTTAACCGCGTGTTTTCGTCCGTTTGCTCCTCCAGAGGCTGCCAGTCGAGCCATAGTCCAGTTCCTGGAGGTGAACCAGAGTGAGGAGGCGAGTCGCGGCTGGATGCTCCTGACCACCATCAACCTGCTGGCCTCCTCCGGACAGGTCGGCACAACAACGCACTCGAAGTTGTTCTGTAATTATGTTTTTGTGTGCAACTCGCAGTATGTGTGGTTTGTGCTTCCAGTGGAGCACATCTTAGAAATATATGAAATTTGGGGAATTTACAGCATTTCGAGGCACTTTTGCTGTTTTTATTGGGAAACCAGCCCAGATTAAAATACATGCAGTAATCAGCAGCTGGTGCTCACATGAGTACATAAAATGGGCAAACTTTTGTAGAGAGAGGAGTGCAACCATGTGTTTGTGTGAGAGACCTGTCTATTAACCTGAACCAGGATCCTGATCAAAACTCCCACCAAACTATTATCTAATTAGATTTACCAGAAATTTTGATTTGAGGGTTAATGTCACATACCGATCTCCTGCTCTGAGTCGAAACAACCATTTTGGCTCTGATACATTGCAGCCACAGTCTCAGGGTTTCCACAAAACTGCATACTAGTAGCTAGAAGTTCTGTCAAAAGAGCCCAAAATATTCTGCTTTATTGTTGCAGTTCTTAAAATGACTGCAACTGAAAATTTTAGCATGCCTCATTTCATCCCCTGTTGACATATTTAGCGTGGATTAAATAAAATTACAGACTCGACTGTGCTGTAACGTTATTTCTCTGGTGCTGGCACGACATTAAAGTGGATTGTGGAGATAGTTCTGGCTATGCAAGACTACACGTTAGCTAGCTTTACTGCTAACTTGGTGACGCTGTTGGTTAAAGCGCCACACCAAAAACGCCTTGAAGTCTCCAGAGTTAGCATTATTGTTCTTTACCATAAGCCAATCAGTGATTCTTCCTTGTTTAGTGACGGTGAGCTGAATACTGTTTCACCCGTTTACCAAAATCATGGTTAGCCTTCAGCTGTCCATGCTATGTTTGAGTAGGTGAGCTCTGTCTGCTTTCAGATTAAGAGAATCATCTTTTCTCTATTTTTAAAATGTGGAAGCAGCATCTTTCTGTGCTGTCTTGCTGTCTGGAGGTGATGCTGGTGATGGTTCAGGATTTGGGTTGTTTTCTTTGATAGCTCCAGTTACATACAGCTTTGTAAGCCGTGTGAACAACAGCAGTGTTTGTGTGAGTGTGTGTAGGAGATGGGAATGGAAATTTCATCAATCAAATGAAACAACGCCATTTGTGTATTTGTCCAAACCAGTACGTTTTTCCGGTTCATTCTGACATTTTTGGGGGCATTTTTGCCCTTTGCCCCGACATAGATTCTTTCTTGTTAGGATTTTTACCCTCTCACAATGTAGATGTAAGATTGAATTCTAGGACTTGTAGGAGGTTTTTCAGCATTCTGTATCTCTTTGACCCATTTACTTCCCCTGGCTTTGATCTTCCAGCAGAAAATAGCATCATCCACTGTAAAAACCAAGAAACTCGAGTGAAAATTCCCACCTGACCCATCCCAGCTTTTACTCTCCCAACACAGTGATTTGTTCAGCTTGTTTCTGCTCCTTTCCTCTACTCATGATCTTCTGTATGTCACATGAATTACAATTATTGTCTTGTTTTGGAAAAGCCATGCAATGAAATCAAATCAAAAATTAGATTGTCGTCTCCAGCGTCTGGTCACAGAGCAGCACAGCTCCACATAAAGCTGAATCCTAACACGGCAGCTCGTGTGTGTGTGTGTGTGTGTGTGTGTGTGTGTGTGTGTGTGTGAGCTCTACAGGTTGTACATTAAGCTCTTGTTTTTGTCTGTCTGCACCCTCATACTGTGGCCAGCAGACATCTTTTGAAGTTTCTGGCCTGCATTCCTCTGGAGGTCTTGTGGGGAGCGTTGCTGTCAGCTGGCCGGCTGGCTGCTTTTTCTGCTCTGCTGCACACCAGAAATGCACCGTTGCTGCTGCTGCTGTTGTTGTTGTTGTTGCTGCAGAGCCGAACACTTCCTCTCTCCGTCTGCAGACATGTGATGAACCCTGTCCTCACTCCGCCTTCTCTTTGACTCACTCATTGTCAAAACATTGCACTGTATATACAATTAGAGTTGGAAGTTTGAGAGAAACTTGAGATACGGTCGTCTTTTCGCGCCGGTTAGTTTGTGCTGCATTGTGTTTGTGTTCTGAAGCAGAAAAGTTGAAGGATAAACGCCTCGAGGGGGGATACTGAGGAGCATTGAAGAGCTGCTGCAAACAGCAAATCTTATACTGTCAGGAAATAAAGCTGAGGTTTATTTATTTAGTTCTCTTTTACACTTTTCGGAAGCGGCTTCCCCGGCGCCAGCAGCAAACGCTTGAGGATTAAAACCGCTCACACGTCACAGACATGAACTTTCTGTTCTTCTAGGGGCCACTTCTGCTTTACAGTCACGTCAGCCTTTTTTAAAAAAAAAAAAAAAATGCATTCTTGTAAATTTCATTTGGTTCAAGGATCCTGACGGTTTTAAGCGAAGCCAGACTGACACCAGATTTTAATGTTTTTAATTCTTCTTGAGCCACAGAAGCATTTTTTTTCTCCAGCCTCAGTTTATACATCTTGGATTTCTTCATTTAAACGCTTCAGCAGCTTGGTTTTTAATTGCTTTTCACTTGATAGTAGTTGTAAAACAAGGCGTACTTGACAAGTTGCGAACACGTGGATTTAACAACTTTGTAGCTTTTATTTGGCTCGTTATAAACTTTGAGAGTTACCAAGTTGAGACTTTGAAGTGGTGATGCTTAGATGTTAGCCTCTGCCCTGGAGGCTGCTGCTAGTTTTTACAGCAATTAATGTGAGATAGAAGATGTGAAACCTTCCGTTCTTCCAGGCTCGTTAGGGGTGCAGTGGATCACAAAACAGTTGCATCCCGGATCAAACCTTCACTGTCACTGCTTTTACCGTCGTGGTGCAGATCTGGATTGCTTGCCTTTAAGATGTCGAGATGAGACTTTGCTCTCCAAGTGCACCTGTAGTTACTTTTAATAGTAACAGCAACGATAAAACAGAATTTCACACTCAGATGGTTGGACTTGCAATAATCCACAGTTCACATGCGTGCTGAACTGTGAGTGAGAACCTGTACAGATGACAGATTAACTGTTCTCATCTGTGCCCACCGTTGTTTTTTGATCTCCTTTATTAATGCGAGCACCTGTTGTTGTGTCACACAGGTGATAAATTTCTTAGATTGTCCTTTGCTATAGCTGTACTGTTCCAGCCATAGCAGCTGTTGCTCTGTTTACCTCCACTCAGTGTGCTTTTTCTTTTCACTCCAAACAAAGTTCAGCAACAGAGGGCTAAAAAACAAATGCATCAGCTTTCGTAATACATTCAGCCTTACACGTGGGTGACAAATTAAAGGAAAAAAGTGACTTCTTGTAGGCATCTGGTTGCTCGGTTGTGCTGTGGGGTTTTGCTGCTCCACTCGTCCGATTAGAGGGAAGCGTCACGACACATCAACACAAAGTTGATCACCTTTATCTTAATGCAGCATTTCTATCCTGATGGGAGTGGTCTTCTATGATGATGATGATGCCCACCAATGGAGCAAAAGGGCTCACTAGTGCTCTCCACCACCATTATTATCAAAACACCAAGTGAGGGAATATTATGTGGAACAATGGTGTCCGCTCCTCCAGTAGAGCTCCAGAGACCTGGAGGATCAATGCCAGGGTGCACTGAAGCTGTTCAGGTGGCACTGTAGTGGCCCAACACCTTACTAACACACTTTTATGTTGGATTTTTCTTTAATTTGTGGCCATGCAGATTGAAATCAGGAGCTGGTCTCTATGGAAACAGCACAACCATGGCTAGAAGTTAAGAAAATTTAAATATAGCTTCAATATTACAGTTATAATGCCAAAAATCATGAAAAATAAAATTTTTAAAAAAGCTGATTTTCTTCTAAAAAAAAAAAAAAAGAAGAAGAAAAAAAAACTGTAGTTAGTATGTGCCCCCAGGTGTTACCAATCCTGGGAAAAGATATTTTATTATTCACAAGTATACAACCCCTACAAAATGGTGTTTAAAAAAAAAAAACTACTCTGTCAACTCTAGAAAGATGTTTCACTGTGCTGAATGTATCGTCCGACAACTTTCTCCTCTGTTCACCATTTTTGAGCCATGCTGCATTTATTTCAGTGAATAATTATGTTTTATGTAACTCTTAATCCCTTTAATTTGTTTCCATACTTTTCATACTTTGCTCTACCACAACCTGCATTTTAGCCGAATAGTCTCACAATTTTTGACGCGTGAATGTTGATCACAGCTGAGTCAGTCACGGCTTTGTAGTTATGCTGAGGAGACTTTTTTGTGTTTTTCAGAATCTGGTGCACTTTTTTTTTGTCTTTTTTTGTGGCAAATGTTAAGACAAGATGTGTAGAATAAGTTTGCTTTGGTGGCATGCCATCGTGTTTTTAAATTTAGTCAAGTTTGCTTAAAGAACAGTGACATGTGATCAGTTTAAGGAGCATGTAAAAGGAGAAAATCGGATTACTACATCTGTTTTTATAGTTTCTGCTCTGAGAAATGGTGGCATTTTGCAGATTTTTTATTTCTTGATTTATTTTTGAGATCAATTTTTTATTTTTAACATTTTTTTCTGGACATAGACGCGTGTGCCCAAGCCTTGGTATGGTTTAAATTAATAGGGTCTGCTGTTTTGTGGCTGTTTAATGTCAGCAGAACAGGACTGACAGGGAAAAACAATAACTGGCCAGTGAGCGCGGTGGCTCATGCCCTGTTTGTGTCTGTGTGTGAGCAGGTTTAATGGATTCGTATCCCTTTTCCTCTGCTGTCTCAGACGGTAAAACGAAGGACTCTCCAGGCAGCTGGCCTCCCATAAACCTGACGTCACCTCCCTCCCTTTAATGCCCTCCTCCTCCCTCACCTCCCGCTCTTCCTTCCTCGGAGGATAAAGCAGCAATATTTTTGTTTGCGGCTCTCTCTTTCTACCTCTTATTTTTGATAGGATGCCCTTCACGCTCTGAATTCCCAGTCCGCTTGTCTGTGCCTCTCTGACACACACAGAAGCGCTTTCTTGACATATTTCTTCTTTCAGTCTCCTCGTGTCTGACTTTATCGCCTTTTATTCCCCTCCATCCTTCCCTTACACCTACACACTGTTCAGTAAATGTCTTTGTCTCTCCGGTTTTCGCTGTGATTGACTGTTGGCAGTAACCTTGACCTTAAGGCTGCAGCAGGGCCGATGCGTCTATAACAGCCTGTAAAAATACACACACACCCTTCTGGTTGAGTTTTCCATTATCATGACTCACTATCAAATACCTTCTTCCACCGTCAGTGTCTTTATCATTTTCCCTCCATCCCCCACTCTCCATTGATCAGCTGAAATTGAAGGTGTGTGCGCTGCCGTGCTTTGTTACTCGGTCTGTTGGAGTGAAATGGGAGGGTCATCTGGTCCGGCCACCGTGTGTGTGTGTGTGTGTGCGGTTATACGAGAGCTCGTGTGTGCGTGAAAAGGAAGAGCGAGGTAATTTGTCGGCTTCTTTTCAGTGTGTGCGTGTAGGAGGCAGCGTTTGATTATCTGAATCACTCGCCTCGCCGAGCACAAACCCCATCTTCTTCAGCGCGCACACACAGTACAGTATAACGCTGGAGAACACACAATGAACACACACCTCAGGCCTTTCTTATCTTCGCAGAAACTCGACCATGAATCATAACACAACAAAATAGCCGTTTACCAAAGTCACGCCGGAAACGAAAACATTTTTCGTCTTTATTTTGTCCCGCAGAAATCGAGGTCGTGCAGCTCTTTGCTTAGTGTCGATACAGTTACATGTAAGGTGTTGTCAAATATCAGTTTTTACTAAAAATTGTGCAAAATCCACAGCAAATGATATAAAAAAAATCTGTTTCAAGATTCAAGGGATTTTAATCGTGTGCATCCACATATATGTGCTTTGATTTGGCTGTGAGTGTTTGGACGCAACCGAAATCCAAAGTTGAAACGCGTGATCAGGCCAAAGGATCATCTGATTGTCTTTTGGTGCAAAATCTCAATCCGCCATCTGAATTGTAGTGGAACTCATGTGGTCAAATGGTTTCTTGTGCCTACAGTAACTCACAAGTCCCATATGTTTGCGTCTCTTTACTTCTAGTCGCTGCTACGGTGAATCACTAAGAGGTTTGCTCTGCCTCTTAGTCTGTGGCTAATGCTGTCTGGAGCTCCATCTTTATAACATGAGAATAACTTTGACAACAGACTGACACATCTCTGTATCCGAGACACCACCTACAAAAACTGAACAAAACTGTCACTACAACTCTATGCGTTAGCTGCTTTTACAGTGGCTGAGACTGCGCTAACGGCTAGTGGCATTGTCACAGATTACCATGAAACATAGTCTAGAAATCAATATCAAACAATGCTAAGAAAACATAATAATAAGAAGATATTGGCCTGAGGTGGCAGTAAAAGTGACATAATGCTGAGGAAATGTACATCAAGAAAGATGGTCTTTCTTGATTACTAACAATCTGTATCTGTATTCGATTTATCAGATCGCCCGTCCCTAGCTGGAAGTTAATCTTTACCTTCTCTTGAGTTTTCTTCTGAAATTATTCTATCTCACATTCTGTTTTCTTTACCGTCCTTTTCGTCCGTCTCCCTACAGAAAACCGTCGACTGCATGACGACCATGTCCGTTCCCTCCACGCTGGTCAAATGCCTCTACTTGTTCTTCGACCTGCCCCACATGGCCGAGGCCCCCGTGGGCCCTCCGCCGCCGCCTCCACCGCAACCGCTGCCCAACCAGGAGAAGACCGCGGGGCAGGGCCACACCCAGCCAGAGCTGCCCCTGGCCGACCGCCGGGCGCTGCTCCAGAAAGTCTTCGTCCAGGTAAGAAGATGACGACAGCGCTCTGTTTGGAAAATGTTTTAGTTTCTGTGATTACTTGTGCTACTACAGCTGTCGGTTGTATTTGGTTTTGAAGCAGTCACACAAAAAATAAGATAAGATCAACTTTATTCATCCCGAAATATAAAATGGAAATATACACAATTACAGAAATGTGAGTAATTAAATAGAAACCAAATAAGAATACAAAGTACAATATGTAGTGTTTAAATGTATAAAGTGTCCAAGTGGATGCCAAACAAATAAAATCACACATGAACAAAAGCTAAATAACAAGAAACAGAAAGTGAATTAAAGGTAAACAGATGTATTGCACAGAAATAATACAGGTGACAGTGATGGTATTGATAATGAAACTATTGCATCTGGTAAGAAATTGCACAAGATGTTTAAAGTAACTCTACATTTTTGAAACGCTTATGGACAAAAGCTGTGTTTCATTTGCGGTTTGATTGTTTCGTGTAAATTAATGCAAACATTGTCAAAAATAAAGAATAATCTTGACCATTTATTGTGGATTCAACATAAACGTGATGCTGGTAACGCGTGTGGAGCATCAATGATGTGCATGAGCAGATTTTAAGACGTTCCTTGTCTTAGTCTGATACTTTAACTCCTGATGTTCACTGACATAAATGATGCCTTATTGTCATCGTAATTAGAAACTCTGCCTGACGCTTCATTGACTTCATCTGCCATAACTACCGAAGCTTGAATTTCACATATTAATGATGCCATTTACAAAACACAACAAAAACACTCTTCTATCTCTGTGATAAAAGACTCGACTTCGCAAGCGGCAGTTTCAGTTTTTTCCGGCCGTAGTTTTATCAGATTATTTCCAGGCCGATGCCTTCGGCTGCGGTAAAAACGTCCTCTCCTCCCCGCTCCCGCAGATCCTGGTGAAGCTCTGCACCTTCGTGTCTCCGGCCGAGGAGCTGGCTCAGAAGGACGACCTCCAGCTGCTGTTCAGCGCCATCACCTCCTGGTGTCCCCCCCACAACCTGCCCTGGAGAAGGAGCGCCGGGGAGGTGCTCACCACCATCTCCAGACACGGCCTCAGCGTCAACGTGGTCAAATACATCCACGGTAAATGCAGATGTGTCAGATGTTGTATAATGACATCATCAGTCGACACATTAAAGGTACAGTCAGACTTTATCTGACATGTGTTTAGCCACATGGAAAATCACATTTAGGAGCTACAACCTTCAACATCCAGATCCACCAAGGATGCAAAACAAACATCTATCAGGCAGCTTCGTAGGAAAACACACATGATGAGGACACTGGCAGAGCAAACAGATCTGTTTGTTTACTGACGTGTTTTCATGGACTCAAATGATTCAAGAAACAACAGTTTGGCAAATTAAACACTGTAAACCTCTTGAGAGTCGCACAAGTACTATTTGTTGTGACGTTCGTGCAGTGATTTATGTTAAGTATTAAGATGAGCTTTCTTTAAAATCTGTATTTATTTAAAGCATCAGTGAAAAAATGTCCTGTGTGAAGTAATTCCTGGCGTTTCTGTTATTACCGGTAAAAATGAGGGCTCTCCTTTCATGTTTCTCAGAGGTTTTAAATAAATAAAATGTTGACATGATGATAATTTGTGGAAAATACGCAGATGGGTTATTTAAAAAAAGAAAAAAGAAAAAAGAAAAAACAACAACGACAGAGCCATCTGTAACTCATGAGTTTGTAGCCGAACAAATTATATTAAAACAAACGGAAAACAAGGTGCACGAACAAATAAATTAGCAAGTTAGTCAGTTTGGGAATTTTCTGTCCCCGTTTTAGAGGAAATGCAACTGCTGATCTGCCACTTTCCAAAGCTACTGTATTGTTTTCCTTTCTATAAATCTACGATGAAAGCAAACCTGGAGCAGATATCCTCAATCATTTCCATGCATTCCTTTACACATCATGTCACCATATTTCTCACAAACTCTCCTTTTTTTTCCCCCTTGTCTTTCTCTCCCTCCAACCCTCCCATGTACAGAGAAGGAATGCTTGGCCACATGTGTTCAGAACATGCAGCAGTCAGACGATCTCTCCCCGCTGGAGATCGTCGAGATGTTCGCTGGACTCTCCTGCTTCCTCAAAGACTCCAGCGACGTGTCCCAGACGCTGCTGGACGATTTCCGAATGTGCCAGGGTTACGCCTTCCTCTGCGACCTCATGCTCAGGTACAGCTCAAGTCCCACAGCTCATATGCTCACTTCCTTGTGTATAAACAGTCTTACAAGTTCTTCTGTGCTCAGGCTGGAACAAGCAAAAGAGGACGAATCGAAAGATGCGCTGAAGGACCTGGTGAACCTGGTCACCTGTCTGTCCACGTACGGGGTGACGGAGCTGAAACCAGCTGGCCTGACGACCGGAGCGCCCTTCCTGCTGCCTGGATTTGTTCTCCCACAGCCCTCTGGGAAAGGTAGGCTAATGGTTCGTCGTTATTTCCAGATGTCACACGTGTGTCCGAGACAAGACACCGAACCCCAAAGCTCCTCCCAGTGACTCAGATATTAAAGCAAACACCTTGCAGCTTTGGCATTTGCTCATGAGAGTGCGCGAATGAGAAATGGCTGAAAGGGAAATCCACTGGTGTTGTCGAGAGCAGGAATCAAGGACATGTTCGCTGTGTTTGCATGATTATCAGGCAAATTTGAAGCAAACCTTTGTCACAGAAGATTAAAAGAATGAAATATGTATTAGGCTTGTTTCCATTCATAGCTTTGGAGCAAATAAACTCGACTGCTTCGCTCGTCAGAAAGCGGTAGAATAGGCTACATTACGCATGGACGCGATAAACAAAACGTTTACCATCTTGAGAAAAATGTAGAGAAGTTGTAGCTTTTCTTTCATGTCAGCTGGTATCAGTCCTGTTTCATGTTGTCCAGAGATAAAGACGACGGAAGAAACAGCTGATTAGTCAGGTGAGTTAAATGTTAGCTACGTCAGAACTGATTTTAGAAATGTCTTTTCATGCTCTTCGTGCAGCCGTAAAAACTTCTTTTCAAAATTGAGATAGACTTTTCTCAAATGTTGCTGTTTTCGTTCACTTTTTCAATCGCAATGCTTCAAAATGCACAAAAGAGAAACGTTACGGAAACACGGCTGTTGAAACTAAAAGCTGAGGAAGTGAAGCTATTCCCTGCCTTCCCCTTCCAGGACACAACCCAGTGATTTTTCTGGTCGCAGATCCGCCTCTTAAGTCTACAGAGTACCACCAGCTTGATTCGCCCAAAAGCTCTGAAACAAGAGAGGAATTACTTGTGGAATAGTCCTCGTGTATACCCCAGCCGCCATATCTGCCTGTCAGATCTTAATCCCTGAAATGACTTTGATGCTTGGCTGATCCCAGTGAGCTTAACCTGTTGACAGACACCATGGCAACTCCGCCGCCTGTCACTCTGCTGGAGATGAACGCCTCGAGCCTCTTGCATACAAATTGGCTCTTTGGAGAGCCGGGATGCTTTAGTGGTTTAGAGAATTGTCTCTGACTGCACGTTTACCTCTGAACCTGATCCACATGACCTTGTATCCCCCATTTTATACTAAGTCAATAAGGAAACAGGCAGCACGCACATGTCTGTGTTGCATTTAAAGTAGTTCTAACGCACTTATGCCTATTTATAGGTTAGATCAGCATTTTAACCTTCTAAACCCTGAGCAGATTCTGGATGGGTTTTTTTTTCCTCCTCTGAGATTTTTCCTCACTGTGGGCTCATTTTTTAATATAAAATCCTGCATCTTTTTGGAAACAGCCATGGTTAGAAGGAAGGAGAACTCAGAAATATACTTTGTGTAAAATAACCAGGTGAGAAAGCCAAAAAATCATAAAAAAGAAAAAACTGAAAATGAATTTGTTTGATTGTTTATGTCACAAAAAAGGAAGAAAAAAAATGGAATCAACAAGTATAACCTTTGTCCAGATGCCCACGAAAAGAAAATAACTATAATTTTCTATTTACAACTTTACAACCTCTACAAACATTTTTCTCTCTACACTACACATCCGCTCTAGAAAGATGTTTCACCATGCTGAATGTGTCTTCCAACAATTTGCTCCTCTGTTCACTGTTTTTGAGCCACGTTGCATTTATTTTGTTCCTTAGGTATGTTTTCTGTTGCTCTCAATCTCTTAAATGTGCTTCTATCCTTGTTTACTATCTGCTCTGTGTAAACACAGCCTGCAGTTCAGCCGAGTGGTTCCTTAATGTTTGTCATGTGACTGTTTGCAGCTGAGTCCAACTTGGCTTTTATGTTACGAAACCATTTCTGCAGAATCCGTTGTCTGTATTGAGCCGTGCTGCATTTATTTTATTGTTCAAGTGTGTTTTCTTTTTATTATTGTATCTCTGTAATCTAATGTGCTCTGCGTAAACCAGTCGATTATTGACCACCTGAATATAAGCCGCACCCACTAACTTTAAAAAGAAAGCAAGTTTTACATAAACAGGCTGCACTCTATAAGCTGCAGGTGTCCACGTTGTAACATGACATATTTACACAGAAAGATGTTTTAAACTTTGAATTAAATACGTACCGGTAACATACACAAACACGTACCGTAAATGCTTTTTTCCGAACAGTGCCTGTAACACGGCTGGTTAAGAAAATAAACAATATAGCAGCCTACCAGGAAAAGTCATTGATCTCTATCTTCATCTTCCTCCTGTGCACTAAAATCACTAAAGTCGTCTTCTTCAGTGTCGGAACTGAACAGCCTCAGAATGACTTCATCACACACTTCCTCAGTCTCTCTTTCATTGTCGCTCTCAATGTCACTTTCTTCTCGAGGCAAACTTATAAAAATCGTAAAAATCCATAAATTAGCTGCATCACTGTTTAAGCCGCCGTGTTCAAAGCGTGTGAAAAAAGTAGCGGCTTATAGTCCAGAATTTACGGTAGTTCTTTACATAAACACCTAATTTTTGGCTGTTATTTAAAACAAGACATGTAGAATAAAGTGATTTTTATCCTTAATATCACAATTTTAAGCTTTAATTTTCCATGCCGTGATTAGTTCAATGACTGTCGTAAAGCTGAACATCTGATAATGATGTTTTCACAGTTTGTAGCTCTGATCAATGGTGTCATTTCAAGCCCACATTAAGGAGCCACACCTTCACGCCGGCCGACACGTTCTTTTCTTCCTTCAGATGCTTAATGTTGCCTTCGTGCTGCTGAAGTCCCACGACACTCAAACACATGCAAACCCGCACAAAACCTTCCAACCCCACACACACACACACACACACACACACCCCCTGACACAGTTGAGCTCGGCTGCCTTTTCCACCACACACAAAAAAAACCCACACACAGACACACACTCATGTTTACCCACTTAATGACAGTTCCAGCTGTGCGCCGAGTCATTACCAGGAGCCATCGCGGTACGAGGGTCCGCTTACACGCCTAATTAAGCCGCCACATTCACTTAACCGCTGCGTGCGTGATGACACGTTTGTGTGCCAGTTTTTCTCGTGTGTGAGTCACAGTTTATGGTTTTATGTTCGCCGCTCAACCCCAAAATGGAGGTCAGATTATGTGTGTGATGTGGTTCACGGACAACCTCTATCTTTAATGCGTTTGCCCTTTGCTGTCTCTTTATCTAAGTCAAACACATACTGCCTTCTACAATAGTTTTCATTGCATGGAAATTATTTTCCGTGATTACTCCAGCTTGACAACGCAAACTACAAATATTTATTTTAAAACAAGAAATTAATGACAAAGATGTAATAAAGGAGCAGGCCATTACTGTTGATTAGACTGACTGTTGATTGTGGAGTGACATATCTCTTGAAAAGTTCAAAAACTTTACAATTAGAAAGTCATATTTTGTCTTTTAAGTCATTTCGAAAAAGCTAAAAGAGCAGACTTGTGTTGAATTTGCTGCAAAGTGACAGATAAGATCAGAATTTCTCATTTTTCAGTCATGATCATAAACCATTTCATCAAAAAGAAAACAAAATTGTTAATTGGATGAAAAATCAAAAGGTCATTTCAACCCTAATTTAAATATTAGTCTCACAATTCATGAGGTTCAGGAACTGTGCGAGTTAACTAAAGCTGCTCTGTTCAAGCAAATTGGAGCTTCTTCTTCTTTTTTCTTTTTTTAAATATTGCTTTTCGGTCTTAAATGATGTAACAGGGTTTTCAGTTTCCTCTCGGCAAATATTGTTCTAACGATTGTAAAAACCATGTGGAAAAGTGTACATTTCCTTTTTGTAGAGGGGGTGTTTTTGCACAAGATCAATTTTCTTTAGTCATTTTGTTTTTCTCAGGGTCACTTCTCCTGCTCTTTGGGTTTCATGTAGCTTCGAGGCAGTTTATGTAACATCAGGAAGGGTCTCAGGTTTCCACCAGAGTCGGTCTGTAGATGCAAACGTGGAACCAGCGTCCGCTCGTGCTCTTTTTCCAAACGTTGGTGTGCATAATAATTTCTATATTTTCACAAATTTCACAAATAAATCTTACATTAGAAAGAATGCTTGTATTCCAAAGAAGTGTTCAAATTTCCAGCTCCTAACCTGCCAAGGGTTAAAGAAGAAACATCTTATGACTTATAGTGATTAAATTTATTACAGAATACAAGCTGAAACATCACATAAAACAACCGAAGTGCCATATTTGTTCAGTATCTACACAGCGCTTCTTGACTCGTCTCATCTCTTGACATATTCCAGCCGTAGTCAGCAAGCATAGATGGATTCCTGTTTCCCTGATACCTCAACACAAATAAAACAGAACTTACCTGCATTGTTTGCACAGTTTCGAGACATCTCAGCTTCCTGAGGTCGAACATGTGACACAGTTTTACAAGCTCCATGTAAATTTAGAGCCTTAAATCAATGTGTCTGTCTCATGAAACGTCTCCACATGCATTCTATCCACTTCTAAGTCACAGATTTCTGCAGATATGTCAAACAGAACATGATCTGCCAAAACTCTGGCCAACATGAATGTATTTAATGTGCAGACAGTGTTTTAGGCTAGAGCTGGTAGCTCAGAGGCTCAGATTTTGACCCTGTGCTGTTTCTTGTATCCAAAAAGCCAATTAGCACTTTTAAGTTATTTTTTCTTTATTTGTGGTCCAGTGTAGATGGGTGCTTCAACTTTATCGCTTCAAATGACAGTCGTTTAACATTTTGACCAGTCATTCACACGTCCGTCCTCTTCTCTGTCATATCTTTTCTTCCAGGCCACACAGTCCGTAACATCCAGGCCTTCGCGGTCCTCCAGAACGCCTTCCTGCGAGCCAAAACCAGCCGTCTGGCCTGCATGCTGCTGGACGCCATCGGGAACATCTACGCCGCCGAGCCGGCCAACTACTTCATCCTGGAGTCGCAGCACACCCTGTCGCAGTTTGCTGAGCGGGTGGCCAAGCTCCCCGAGGCTCAGGCCAAGTACTTTGAGCTGCTGGAGTTTGTGGTGTTCAGCCTCAACTACGTGCCGTGCAAGGAGCTGTTCAGCGTCAGCGTGCTGCTCAAGTCGAGCACGTCACACGCCTGCAGCATCACGGCCGTCCGGACGCTGCTGAAGCTCGCCCGGCACGACCCGGTGTTCAGCGACGTGCTGCGGGAGGTGGGCCTGCTGGAGGTGCTGGTCAACCTGCTGCACAAGTACGCCGCCCTGCTCAAAGACCCGGCGTCGCAGCAGCAGCCGCACAACAACGACCAAGGTGAGGAGCTTCTGTAGCGGGACCTCTTCACCGCAGTTATTGAAGATACGTGGAGTAGGCTGGAGAACTGATTTTTATTTGTAAAAGCTGAACTATAGAGGAGACAGGACTGTTGAGTCATCTCGAGATCTAAAGGGGAGTTGAAATAGATCATAATAGAACCAAAACAAAATAAGGATTTAATGAGGGCATCTGGGAGTCACCTGTTAGCGAGTGCTCACAGTGCACTAAGGTTGAAGCCTTTGATTTCTCATAGGGGCCCTTTGTTCCTCGTTCTCCCTTTACTGCCTCTCTTCAGCTCTAAAGGCAAAATGACAAAAGAGTAATCTTTTAAATAATAATAACAATAAATAAGTAAAATGTGAATTTTACATTGCGTAATCTTCTTCAGTGCTGCAGTAGAAGGCAACTGGATGTCTTTTTGGTTCTTGGAGATGTTTCTTCTCTTATCTAAGATGCTCCATCAGTACAGACAGACTGATTAGGAGTCGCAGGGATTTATTGTCACCCTAGACTCAACAAACATGACTCAGGGTGGAGGAGGGATCTCAGGGCTGCATTTAAGTAACTGATTAGTGGCGTCTTAGACCACTTCTCCTGCTTAGAGATGGCTTTCCGTTCGTAAAAACTGAGGAAGCCTCTTGGACGGGAGATGAGACGTCTTCAAGAACCCACAAAGAGATGCAGTTGCCTTCTACTGAAGCACTCGGGCTTACCAAGACTGAAACAACTGATAACCTACACAGAGACACTGCAAAATCTTGATAAAGGCAGAAATAATCCTGATTTGCTGCGTAATTAAAACAGTGACTTCACACATGACTCACAAGCAGCACCTGTGGCTGCAGGTGAAAGCGATTGTGATGTCTTGGGGAAACACCTTAACACACACTTCATCACTGCAGAAAAGAAGTGAGAAGTTAAATGAGTGCAGGTGTTAAAACATCTGGTAAAAGATTGTTCCAAGTTGGAGATAAATGAAGATATATTTTTTCATTGCTCTGGATTATACATGATATTATTATATATATATATATATTAGTATAGGTCACGCATGTTCGCCACTTCCAAGACAGATTTGTGCAAAAAGAGTGTGTTCTGTCAGAAATTCTTGTGTTCTTCCTTTTCTTCTTCTTCTTAAAGGTGTCTACAAACATACTAAGAAGTCAAATGAATCAACAACATTCAGTACAGACAAATTAACATGAATTACAAATCAAGACCACCTGGTCTGACCTGAAGTGCTTTGAGTCAAATCACAACCAACATGTGCCTGTTTTCAAATACTTAAAGTGTGTCATTTACTTACCTTGAAGTAAACCTTTCTGCTTTTTCACTGTTTGCCTTTTCATTGTGTCACTGTTTGCTCACTGTGTGCGTTTAATGCCGCCGTCCAGCGCTAACCTCTCTTCTCTCCCTTTGTTTGCTCTCTGCGTTTAGCCGACTGCAAAAACAACACAGTAGCCGAGGAGCAGAAGCAGCTGGCCTGGCTGGTGATGGAGACTCTGACTGTGCTGCTGCAGGGCTCCAACACCACCAGCACTAATGCAGGTAAACACACCAGCACACGGGACTCTACATGTGTGGAAATGGTCGCGATAAATCCAGGAAGAGGATGTTTTCTTAGTTTATTTGAGAGTTTGGAGACACAACAAAAACTTCATGTTCCATAATAATTAACTTTCAAGTATCTGTAATGGTATATAATATCAGAACTTAATTTAAAGGAAAATGACCTGATTTTAACTTTGCATCTCTGCAAGGCTCCGTTGGGTAAAGATCTTCCCAGCAACTGGGCCACACTGAGCTCCAAAGCTGCAGTACACTGGATTATAAAGTATTTAAGCTAAAAAAACATGCTCAGATGATGTCTCTTGATAAGCCTCGGCAGGAGGATCAGTGAAGGCTACGCATTATTTTACAGTTAAGCTTTAATTGACTGCATCAAATTTAACCTTGAACACTCATGATGCAAAAGTATAGAAGCACTCATGGAGGGAGTTTCATTCAGCAAAGAAATCCACTGTTCCATCTCACTGAAGAGACGCTGATTGTCAACCATCCTGCAGAGGAAAGAGAACTTTCTATCAGGCATCTATAAATTACCTTAAACATCGCTCTTCTCAGTGCAGCAAAGCAAGTTGAAAAAGCCTCAGAGTTTGTGGATCCAGCTATAACAGATGACCAGATGCAGACATGGACAGATCCACAGTGTTTCTCAGAAGAACAGCAAACTATAGGCCTAAACTAATGTGAGAAATATGAAAAATGTGAAACAACGATAATACAGGGTAGCAGCAGGGTCATTCCATCTAAATAACTTGAGTATATTTTAGAAAGCCATGCAAATTTTTACCTTCGCACTATGAATAATTTCAGAGTTTCAGGCCCTTGAAGTACATACAAGTGGCTTTTTAAAATTCTCATTACTTTTTCCTGCATTTCTGAGCCTCATAACTTCATCAGTGAAGCAGATAGACGTGTGGAATTTTGAGCTCTGATAAAAACCACCCCGGGTGTCACGATCTAAAGACTAGCTCGTAGTGTTAACAGAAAAGCTGCACCTGTTTCTTGTCTGTGATGTTAAGTAACAGAACGCTGGATGTCTTTTCTGTTTTCTGCAAATTCACCAGAGAAAACTTTAATAAGGTGCAATTTGGGTGAACTTTCGGGAGTCCTGTCACAACGGGAAGACAAGACAAGTTACAGCAATTAAAAGGTCTCATTCTTACCTTAGTAATTACAGCTCAAAAATGTTAAATGCAAAACAAAAAGCACATGATTTTAACCCACGCCTGTGAACTTCAGTGGCCTGCAACTGACGGTAGCATTTCACGTGGCTTCATTAGATACGTTCTAGTTATTGTGCATAAAAAAATTAGCTGATTCAGATGCAAAAGCCAACGCAGGAAGGACAGCTGGATGGAAATGTAGTGTGTGAATATGTGTTGAGGTTAATAGGCTTATTAATATGACTGCCCCGTCATTAAGACGTGAGTAAATCTCTCCATAAGTACAGTCGTGCTTAACATTAATTAAAGTGCTGCTTTGAGTGTAAGACAGTTTTAGCTTCATTCTCACTGCTGCAGGAGTCTCTGGAAGCATGAACAAATATAAAACTATACCCAGTAAGTGGGCTTAATGCAGATCTTATAAGGTCGACAAGGCTTTAGTGCTTTAATGTGGCTGAGAATTATATTGTTAGACAAACACTTACTGCTTTGAAATTGTTTGCAGCCAATAGGATAAAAAAAACAAAAAAACACTAAAGCAGAGGAAGACTGGAGCTCCATCCGCTGAGACTCGACTATATCTCATATATATGCGTGTCAGGGAAAGCAAAAAGGTTTAGACGCTCTTTAAAACTTTACCTTTCTCCTCTTACTGTCTGAGCGCTGGGCTCCATGGGATCAGTGATGCCATTTTCCAAGAGAGTGTATTGATGTTTCTTTATGCGCATTAGTCTGTTTTTTCTCCAGAAGACGTTAGTTGTGCAGCATAAGTTATTGTGGAGATGTAGCAGTGATACTCCAGCCCTTAAAACCCAGATTTAAACCTGAAGTTACCTCTCAAACCTCAAACCCTGCTTCACCGTCTCTTTCAGCCACTCTGTGTTTGTTTGTGTCAGCTGTAGAAATGCGATGAGTCACAAACATGACCAAGCGGCGGCGCAGAGCTCTCGCCGACCTTGATGATGATGATGACTGTTCGCTTTCGTCACAAAAACACGGCGATGCGTGTGATGTTTGTAGCACTTGGCTCTGACACGTTGATTGCATTTACATTTTATGCTCGCGGCTCTCAGCTGGCACTTTTATCTAGAGACACTCGAAGAGAGTGAAGGAGCAGGAGGAAGCTCACTGCAGCACCAAAGTGACAACAATGTGCTGGATCAAGGTCGAGGCTGCAGCAAAGAAAGTGAATTTTAAGTGTCAGCGCCTTCAGATAAACTCGAATAAATATCTTTAATGTTGCAAGCAACTAGTGATAGTTTCAGTTTCATATAGAAAAGAAAAGAAAACATTTTGAAATCTGTTTTACATTTACAAGTGACGGCACACAAGATGCAGACCTCAACATTTTCAGTTTGAGTGAACAAAAACTCTCAAGGAGTAAAGAAGATAAAGGTAGATTCCCTAAACGATCAGGTCGAGTCAGGATCAAATGTTATCATTTCACTTCATCAGAAGCTTTAAACGAAAGAAAGCAGCTGTTAAACAAGGAGAGACGTTTAATGGAAAGGCGGTTCTGGCATTAAAAAGTTTTTAAAATGAACAGTTTTTATAGCAGTATGTCTGTAAATTATAATCACAGGAGATTTAGAAAGCTTGAATTAAAACATTCAGATGAGTCTAAAGATTTCAGCTGCACTTTAAAGGAAGAATTCACCTAAATTCTGAGTGTAGACTTTGAAAAGAAAGTTTGCTCCTTGTGGAGACGACTCCCAGCATTAGACATCATAAAACATTATAAGATATTACAGTATGGTCCAAAACAAGCATCAAGACACTATTACATTGCTCTGTATATGGAGCTAGCCACTTATTAGTCAGTCATTTATTTATTATTGACATTTAATTAATTATTCAAATCATCTATTTACGAAAAAAAAGACCGAACATTGTCAGATAGGATGACTTTTTTTTTGGGCTTTTCTCAGTATCGAATAATTGTAACTTGAATATTTTCTTAGTTGAACTGTTGAATTGTGATAGCAGCAGAGTAAAACAAACATGGCAGCAAAACAGGACCAAGGATAATATAGGATGAGGTGACTTCAGACAAAACTTTATTAAACCTGAATTTTTATGATCATGATTTTCTGCATTTTAAATTAACTCACAGTTTAACAGATTTTACAGATTTAACTGTCAACCTACAGCAGAGCTTCAGTATCATTCACAGAGAATATAATCAGGAAAAGATTTGACTGAAAGGGAGATGCTTCTTACGGTTGATTTAAATCCAAAACTCAGCCTCCTTTCGAGCAAGTGAGCTGTGCAGCATCAGTTACCATGGCAACCTAGCAGGTTAAGAGAGACTTTCTTAACATTAAAACTCTGACTTTATGCTAAATTTACCTGCTAACTCACTAATCTTCCTTCATACTTCACGTCTCAGGTTGCTTGATGTTTCTCAGTGACTCTAACATGCACAGAGACTCACTTTGTGCCTCTTTCTCTCGTCTCCCAGCCCTTTTCAGGGAGTTTGGCGGCGCTCGCTGCGTCCACAACATCGTGAAGTACCGTCAGTGTCGCGAGCACGCCCTGCTCATCATCCAGCAGCTCGTCCTGTCGCCCAGCGGTGACGACGACATGGGGACCCTCCTGGGCCTCATGCACTCGGCTCCGTCCAGCGAGCTGCAGCTGAAGACCGACATACTGAGGGTAAGGAACTCGACACAGACTCTCTGTTGACTTACTGGAAACACACTTGCATGCTGTTTTACACTTTGCACATTTGAAATGCAGCTTTGGCTACCTCATTTTATTCTATCTGTCTTGATTTTCTGCCATTTCAGAGTCTCAGACATTACAAATTACTTGTTGTTTGTGTTGAGAAACATCATGATAAATGCATCCAAGAAGAGCCTAGTGAGACGATATCAGCCCCAACAAATCCTAGTAGTGAATTTCAGTGAGAACGCTGAAGAAGTCTCTAACTTAAAAAAAATCAATGTGCACTCGGAGCCCTGCGTACAGTAATTGCTTCAGACCAGGTCCGCTGAGTGTGAGGTGCACATAAAAGCATATATGATCACACAGGATGAGAGGCCGGCTCGTTTTCTGTAGCATAATTGCATTTTCGAATTCCCTCCGCCCCCTTCCCAACGAGGTAATTCTCAGGTCTTCTGAAGGCTTCGGCCGGATTAACCCGTCAGCATTTTGCTCCTATTTCGCTAATCGGGGATTTTAATTATCACCCGCTGCAAAGAACTCAAATCTCGTTTGGGTGAAATAATTTATTCTTCTCTCTTGGTCGGGGGTTGATAGTAGCCAAACACACAAACACAGTTAAGCTTGTGAAAAGTGGCCATTTATAGGTGTAATATCTGTGAGATGTGTTGGATCTCAACCTGGAGGCCGGTAAAGTTAACACCCCAAACCTAACATTTTATGAGTCGGAGCCTGGCGGTAATTTCCCAGCTCGGAGGACAGGAAGAGGCCGACTTTACCGTCCTGTGATGGGTTTATGAAACGTTGTGCTGAGTCGGGCGGGATTGTGGAGCAGCAGGAAACAGCTGGCTCAGTGGTGCAACGTATCTCTGTTTTTACTTCTCTTTTATTCGCCGTCCCTCCGCAGTGGGAGACATTATTACAGATCCCAGTTAGCTTTCTAGCTGCACTGCTGGTGCAACAGTCACCGAATTCATTGTAAAACAGGAGGCACTGCAGATAAGATACATCAATGCTGTCATGTAATACATTTTTTTAAAGGATGAGTGGAAAACTTGAGCATAGAAGATGATTCTTGACCGTTTTAGAAACTGGTTGGACCACTTACTGGCTTCTTAGCCCTGCTAGTGGTGAATCAGTCCTCTGTTATTTTAGGCTGAAATATTTAAACAACTATTACATAGATTGCTATTAAATTTGGTACAGATATGTCACTGATCCCAGAGAATGAATCCTTATGTCTGTGGCGATCTACTGATCTTTTGTCTAGTGGCTTCATGGGGTTCAGATTTGTAATCTTTGAGAAAATGTCTTAACGATTAAATGCACTGCCCCAGAATTTGCTGCATAAACTAATTTCCCCCTGAGGATGCCTTCTAGTCAGTGTTGTGGTTGCGGAAGGAATAATTAATAAGTTGCGAGCTGTCGAAATTCTCTAAATTCCAGCTTCTTCAATGTGAATATTTTCTGGCTTATTTCCTCCTCTGTGCCAGTAAACTAACTATCTTTGGGTTGTGAACAAAACTACACATTTGAACACGTCATCTTGGATTTTGGGAATCTTTGATCAACATTTTCTACCGTTTTCTGACATTTTGTCGACCAAACAACGAATCGGAAAATAATCAACAACGAACATGATCATTATTTGCAGCCCTGTTTTAGCACCAACATCTGGTCAAAACTGTTGTACTTTGTTTTATTTATAACATTGCTATTATCCTCTGTGTTTGCTTTATTTGACTTGTTTGTTATATTAATTAGCAATTGTTAGGTTGATAATAACCAAACAGTGCAAACATTATAACTACCTAGCATTAGCATGTTAGCATTTCTGTGACATCGATGTTGGCATTTTAAGTCAAAGTAGTGTCCCAGTAACTAAATAACTTAGTTACAAGATGATTTCATTGGATTTCAGATAGAAATGTTGTTTTTTTTTATGACAAGTCCAATGAATCAGATCTAAACATCATCCAACATTACTCACAGTGACTCATGATAGATAAATAAAGAGGTCATGTGACGACGCAAATGAAGGTTTATCCTGCCCAGAATGGGAGATGACTACACGAGTGTCATCAGCCTGCATACAATAAAAGCGATCAGTCTGTGTTGCCTCTTTTTTTTTGTCATTTATGACCATTGAATAAACAAAAGTGTCTGCTAATCTTGAGTTAATGAGGCCACAGTTAACAAACCGGGTTTAAAAAGTTCAATGGCTGTATATTTCTCAATTCTTAGCATTTTGTCGCTGGTGATTTTTATCTGGTGTCAGGAAAAATCCCACAAATAGTAGGATCAAATCATAATTAAAGCCGCAAGCGGCGATGGACGGGTCCTCGCCCTACGCTTGTCGGCCTTCGCACACGGCGGGGTG